TTATTTACCATAAAGTTAAATTTCGTTTCTATTTCCGTCCGCCAGGTTTCGTGGCGTCGCCCCCAATCGGGAGATATTGGATGCACACGTGCGATGGAGAGTCGATGAGAAGAAACAAAAAAAAAGATAACCATTGGTTTATTTGGTTTTCAATTTTAGTTATTTAGTAATGTAAATCCCGTTGAAGATGTTAAGTTAATGATTTTTGATTCTTTTTTTATTTCGTCGGAAATCATGTCCTCTAAAAGGTAAGTCTCGTTAGGGTTAACTATGTTGTTAGGATTTCCTGTTTTGTTTCGTTTCGTCATTTTATTTATTATTTAAACGTCGATTTGAATAAAAGCAATCGAATATTTTGTTATTTTTTAATAATATTCGTGTATTATTTAAGTATAAACAGAAGAGAGGCAAAAAAAAAATCTTTTAAAGTTTTGTTTTGATTGATTGTGACGTAATAAAATAAAATGACGTCAGCAAACACCTGATATTTTTTGAATTTTCTTGTGTATTTCAATACAAGTAAAGGACAATGTTATATGATTAATTCTCCACTAGAATTTGATATTAAGGATGAATTTTAATGTGACTCTTGAAAATATTTTCTGCATTCATTCATACACTGATAAAAATAACATCTGTCAACTTTATATAGATATAGCTGATAAGCGTTTATGGCTTTCTTTTTATTATAAACTAATTACCATTATCTATATGTAAAGGAAGAGAATTTAAAACTAGATAGAAACAACAAACAGGCTAATATATCTTTTATAAATTTGTAATTTTAGATTGACATTCCTCTATATTGCTTCTTTAAATGCTTAAATTAATTAATTAAACTGAATATTATTCAAGGCTACTTTAAAATATTTGAAACTGTAAAGTGATTTTTGGTTTAGAGGAGAAATAAATTTCACAGTTTCCTATTGTGGAATTGTGAATGTTATGTAGATAGAAAGATTAGAAATTTTTAAAATATCGAGAACAAATATAATGGATGTTGTTATTGAAAGCGGACTTGATTTATTTTCATATTAAACAAATCATAAATGTAAAGCGAAAGTAATAAATAATGCTTTGATATCTGTTTTATTGCTGTATTATATATAATACTGTTTTATTTATTTTGAATTCACCTCTTTAAACTTTTAGTTGTTTTTTTTTTAATTTATATCATTTTATTAAGAATTTTATATTTATATATTGCTAGAAGATTTATCAACTGATTTTATATTGATTGATATTAGTTGATATTTTTATATTATTAAATATTCATTTTGTCAGTTGTACAAATTATTCAAGTACTTTATAGAAGAAATAATAGCTATTGAATAGCTCAAAAATCAACATTGTGCAGTTTATTGAGTGTTAAGCTGTGTTATCTTTAAAAGAAAATTAACTTCATTTTAGATAAACAATAATACAGTTTAGAAACTAATGTTATTTAAGCTAGTAATGATAATGATATTGAAATATTTGTTTGCCATAAATAATATAAGATATAATATAATTATATTATGTTGTCCTTTCCAATATGATTTATTTTTTGAAATACATTAACTGCATTGATATTTTATAAGAGAGCTCTTTCCATAAACTTCTAAGCATTTCAGACTCCTGATCTGTGGATGATTTTCACTCCTTAATTTATAGTTTTTTAGTATTTATTGTTTTAATATATATTAGAGTATACATTATTAATTACAGCTGTCCCTTGATAATCCGATAGGTATGGGACCAAAGGGGTGTCAGATTACCAAAAGTGTCCGGATTACCGAAAGTGATTACATATTTGGCATTGTTTTGCTAGCAGTAGCCTACAATATTCCCTACTCCAACTGTTCGAACAGAACTGCTCACGGAAAACACACGAAATGTGTGTCATCATTTAAGAATTGGGTAGGGAGATTCATGTCACAACATGCTTCTGTGCAAGAAGACATGTAACGGGGACGCATACCTTGACGGGAGGTGCGTCGGACTACTGAGCATGTCAGATTACAAAATGTCGGACTATCAAGGGACAGCTGTATTTACCAATTAAATTTATTTTGTATAGTCAGAATATTTTAAAATTTAAAATAGTGTCTTAATTTGTAATGTAATTGTCATTATATATAGATTACAGATACGTTAACAAGGTATTTTAGTTATGTTTGTATATTATGATAAAAATTATTTACTTAAATTTTAAAGATTATACAAACACACTTTATCATATATAATGTTAGATGAATCTTACAAGACTTTAAATTTAACAGATCTTACAATTATTTTCAGTTTATATACATAAAGAAATGAAAAGAAAAAGTAAAATAAATATAAATATGTATACTTTTTTTTTTACTTTTTTATTTTAGCTAAAACAATTAAAAATATTTTTCTAGTATAATTTAAATGTGTGTTTATAAAATTATTAATAATTCCTATCATATGTTAGCATAAATTTTTTTTAAAGTAAAATTATCATTACTTGTTATACAGTAATTTCAGGATGAGAATTGCAGTTAGTTTTTGAATGATGAATAAGATGATTGTTTTCATTCTAAATATAGTAAAAGTGATTAAAAATGGTTTGATTTATTCAGTGAATAAAGTCTGGTTAGTCTAGCAATGAATATAATCAAAGTTTCTGTATATAACAAGTTATAAATATAAAACATTAAATTGATAGGAGAGTTCTGTGTTAAATATATATATATAGAAGCTTACAAATATGATTTTTCAGTAAACAGGGTGGGCCAAAACTCACTTTTTAAAAGGAAAAAAATTATTTCATTTTTAAATGGTAATTATTTCATAAGTTTCTTTTTAACATTATAGTGTACACATCTTGGAGATTTTTTTGGCCTAAACATGAAAGATAACATCTTTTAAATGACCCTGTGTTTTCCTCTTCATAAAGACAAGCTCTTAGTGAAGTGACTTTTGGCCCACCCTGTATATTTTCGAATTTAAAATATATATTAACATTGTTATTTAAAGAAGGTGTATTTATTTGTAGATACTTTACTCTAATATAATTTAACTTTTCAAGCTAAAGCTATTATAGGAAAAATTCAGTTTTAACAATGTCATAATTAAAAATTTAATGGCTGTTTATTTGGCTTGTTTCTGTTAATATTTCAGCTTTTATTATATTCAAATCATTAAAAGAGAGGTGATAGTAAAATTTATATTTTAGTAATAACTACAGTAGAGCCTCGATTATCCGACCCCCGATTAACCGCCACCTCGGTTAACCGACCGTCCTAGTCGGCAAATTTCAAATGTCCGCTACTGATGTGGCGCTACAATATTTGGCTATGTCTTGGCTACTTTAATATTATTTTTACGTGTTTTAGCTGGCAACACTCATTCGACCATGAAAGGGAGCCAGTATTTAAACGAGGCTTAATTTTCTAATTTTTAACGATACAATAGCGACGATTATTATTTTAAAAAATTTTTGTTAGGCTTAACATCGATGAAAATTCAATGCGAAGTAGGTTAATAGCGATATACTAATTACATGGGTAATAATATACTACACTAATAATGGATTTTTTCATACTTTTCGGTTATCCGACTTTTCAATTATCCGACCAACCCCAGTCCCCAATTGGGTCGGATAATCGAGGCTCTACTGTATATACAATTAATTATATTGAAGAAAGATTAAATAAACATTTTTGAAATTATTATTAAGGATAAGTGTATTGTCTAAATTCTATATTTGTTCTTTATCTTAACTATTTTATCTTTAGATATCACAATTTTGAAGAGAGCATCAAGATCAATTAAACTAATTTAACATGACATTAACAAAATATTTATAAAATTATATATAAAACTTATGTTTTTTCTTATTTGATTAAAACTTGAAGCGAACGATTTTTCTGAAAGGAAAAAGATAAAAATATATCTTATTAAAATAACAGTCATTTAAAATATTTTTATCAAATAAGATCAATATTTAAATAACTCGGATACTAAGTTACATCAATATTTTACATAATTTTTTTTTATTAGATTTTTCAAATGGTCTTGAAAATTTCCAGAAATATTTGAATTCATTAGTTGAGAACATACTAATCTTTTTAAACAAACTGATTTCTTTGTGATATTTTACATGTGTATGAAAAGAAAAAAAATCACAAAATTTGAATAGAAGTTTAGATGAATAGATGTTTACATTGATTGGAAATGTATGTTGAGATGGAAAAAAAGAATGCTTTAAAGAAAAATAAATTGTAGATGTTGACATGTTTTCATTAGGATTGTAAGATTTTATTGAACACAAAACAAAAAAATAAAACTGAATGTTTAGAAAAGAACAATGCAAAAGACATACTCCTATCTACTATTTTTTGTTTTGATATAGAATTTAATAATTATTTCTTTTATATTAATTTTTAGTAAGAAAAAATTTGAATTACTAAAAAAAAAGTAGGAAAAAATAAATATTCAAAACATGGAAATGATATATTGATCAAATTCAAAATTATTGATGATTGTTAGTTCATTTGAACTCAACACATATCTTAAAGCTAATGATTCAAATCTATCATCTAAATAATACAGAAATGACAGCTTATAATAAGAATAAACTTTTTATTTTTTGACAAATAGAAAAATTATTAATACAGTTATTTATTTTATTAAATATATTATACTTGAATTGTTATTAAAATTTATGTTAAAATGATTTTATATTGGAAATGAGTAAAACATGGTACCGTATTTAAATAAATGGAATTTGAAATTGCTTGTTTAAGGATGCCAAAATTAAGAATTTATTTGAGATATTTTTGACTTACCTAATTAAAGTGGATTTTGGGGAAATTTAAGTAGTAACTCCACAGGTGTAAAATCTTTAGCAGAAAACAGAAACAGAAATTGCCAGCCATTTCACATTCTATCTAGTTTCAGGTTTTTATATTCTGTCATAGAATTCCACATATAGAAATGAAGACCCACTCTAGTGTGCTAAAAAGTAATTAAAATGTTAAAATGTAATATAAATGATATATATACATACACAATTGCTTATCTTTATTTACAGCAGTCTTTATGTTCAATCACTTTGTTGGAAATGACTAGAAAAACTTAAACATTGTTTTTGGATACTGTACACAGCTGTTTTGGTGAATATGAAAGATTAGAAGTAATAAACATTTAATTTACAGAATGTATTTGAGTGACCAACAATTTTATTTTGAATGTATGAGAATGACTCCAGAGCTTTTAACCAAATACTTGAAAAATT